AGCCTGTTAGAGGCTACACGGGGGACCTTTGTCTGTGTCTACCTTCACAGGTGCTGCTGCTACTCACAGCACTTGCCCCTACAGCCTGTTAGAGGCTACACGGGGGACCTTTGTCTGTGTCTACCTTCACAGGTGCTGCTGCTACTCACAGCACTTGCCCCTACAGCCTGTTAGAGGCTACACGGGGGACCTTTGTCTGTGTCTACCTTCACAGGTGCTGCTGCTACTCGCTACTCACAGCACTTGCCCCTACAGCCTGTTAGAGGCTACACGGGGGACCTTTGTCTGTGTCTACCTTCACAGGTGCTGCTGCTACTCACAGCACTTGCCCCTACAGCCTGTTAGAGGCTACACGGGGGGAGGGGGAAACTTTTACCTTTTTACCTCTACATCCTCCTCCTCCGACCCCCCCTGCCCCCCTCCTGCCCCCCACTGCCCCCCATGCCCCCCCCTGCCCCCCACTGCCCCCAGATGAACGTCCGTCTGGACGGCTGCATCCGCAACTGGGACTGGATGGGCCAGGACACGGCGTGGATCTCTGGGGCTCTGCGTGACGAGCCAAGCCGTCAGTGTTACCGCAACGTGGAACCGGGCTCCTTCTTGCCTGGAGCAGGGCACGCCGAGTTCAACACTCTCTCTTACGGTGAGCGGCAGGCACCACTCCCTACTCACCACTCCCTACTCACCATCACCACTACTCACCACTACCCCTACTCACCACCACCCCTACTCACCACCACCACTACTCACCACTCCCTACTCACCACTCCCTACTCACCATCACCACCATCACCTACTCACCACTCCCTACTCACCACTCCCTACTCACCACTCCCTACTCACCACCACCACCATCACCTACTCACCACTCCCTACTCACCACTCCCTACTCACCACTCCCTACTCACCACTCCCTACTCACCACCATCACCTACTCACCACTCCCTACTCACCATCACCACCACCATCATCACCTACTCACCAACCCCTACTCACCACCACCACTACTCACCACTCCCTACTCACCACTACCCCTACTCACCACTCCCTACTCACCATCACCTACTCACCACCACCACCACCATCCCTACTCACCACTACCCCTACTCACCACTCCCTACTCACCACCACCACCATCACCTACTCACCACTCCCTACTCACCACTCCCTACTCACCATCACCACTACTCACCACCACCACTACTCACCACTCCCTACTCACCACCACCACTACTCACCACTCCCTATTCATCACCACTCCCTACTCACCACCATCACCTACTCACCACTCCCTACTCACCACTCCCTACTCACCACTCCCTACTCACCACCACCACTACTCACCACTCCCTACTCACCATCCCTACTCACCATCACCACCACCACCACCATCACCTACTCACCAACCCCTACTCACCACCATCCCCTACTCACCACTCCCTACTCACCACTCCCTACTCACCATCACCTACTCACCACCACCATCCCTACTCACCACTACCCCAACTCACCACTCCCTACTCACCACTCCCTACTCACCACTCCCTACTCACCACCACCACTACTCACCACTCCCTACTCACCATCCCTACTCACCATCACCACCATCACCTCCTCACCAACCCCTACTCACCACCACCACCATCCCCTACTCACCAACCCCTACTCACCACTCCCTACTCACCACTCCCTACTCACCATCACCACCACCATCACCTACTCACCAACCCCTACTCACCACTCCCTACTCACCAACCCCTACTCACCACCACCCCTACTCACCACCACCCCTACTCACCACCACCACCACCATCCCCTACTCACCACTCCCTACTCACCATCACCACCACCATCATCACCTACTCACCAACCCCTACTCACCACCACCACCACCATCCCCTACTCACCACTCCCTACTCACCACTCCCTACTCACCACCACCACTACTCACCACTACCCCTACTCACCACCACCTACTCACCACCACCCCTACTCACCACTCCCTACTGACCACCACCACTACTCACCACTCCCTATTCATCACCACTCCCTACTCACCACCATCACCTACTCACCACTCCCTACTCACCACCACCACTACTCACCACCACCACTACTCACCACTACCCCTACTCATCACTCCCTACTCACCACCACCACCATCACCTACTCACCACTCCCTACTCACCACCACCACTACTCACCACTACCCCTACTCACCACTCCCTACTCATCACCACTCCCTACTCACCACTCCCTACTCATCACCACTCCCTACTCACCATCACCACTACTCACCATCCCCTACTCACCATCACCTACTCACCACCACCACCATCCCCTACTCACCATCCCCTACTCACCATCCCTACTCACCATCACCACCACCATCACCTACTCACCAACCCCTACTCACCACTCCCTACTCAACACCACCACTACTCACCACTCCCTACTCACCACCACCACCATCACCTACTCACCACTCCCTACTCACCATCACCACCACCATCATCACCTACTCACCAACCCCTACTCACCACCACCACCACCATCCCCTACTCACCACTCCCTACTCACCACCACCACCATCCCCTACTCACCAACCCCTACTCACCACCACCCCTACTCACCACTCCCTACTCACCACCACCACTACTCACCACCACCACTACTCACCACTCCCTACTCACCACTCCCTACTCACCACCACCACTACTCACCACCACCACTACTCACCACCCCTACTCACCACCCCCTACTCACCATCCCCTACTCACCACCAGCCCCTACTCACCCCACCCTACTCACCCTCCCCCTACTCACCACCCCCTACTCACCACCCCCTACTCACCACTCCCTACTCACTCACCACCCCCTACTCACCACTCCCTACTCACCACCCCCTACTCACCACCCCCTACTCACCACCACCTACTCACCACTCCCTACTCACCACCCCCTACTCACCATCCCCTACTCACCATCCCTACTCACCCCACTCTACTCAACCAACCCTACTCACCACCACCCATGCACTCACCACCAACCAACCCTACTCACCACCAGCCCCTACTCACCACCCCCTACTCACCATCCCCTACTCACCCCACTCTACTCACCCCACCCTACTCACCCTCCCCCTACTCACCACCAGCCCCTACTCACCACCCCCTACTCACCATCCACTACTCACCCTCCCACTACTCACCACCAGCCCTACTCACCACCCCCTACTCATCATCCCCTACTCACCACCACCTACTCACCACCACCCCTACTCACCACCCCCTACTCACCCTCCCCCTACTCACCACTAGCCCCTACTCACCCCACTCTACTCACCCCCCCACACCCCCCCCCTCCCGTGTGCCCCTCCCCCCCCCCCACCGCCCTCTCCCCACAACTTTTGCGGCTCCAAATTGCGAGAAACTCTCACGGTGGCTATGAGATGTTGACTACCTCGCCTGGTACACAGGAGGTCGTGGGTTCAATCTCGACCATGACAAAGCCTACTGCTGCTGCTGTAGATTTGGAGTCTGCGTGTCTCTCTCATCATCACCACGGTGGCTAGGAGATGTTGACTACCTCGCCAGGTACACAGGAGGTCGTGGGTTCGATCGCGACCCTGACGATGCCTGCTGCTGCTGTATTTTTGGAGTCTGCGTCTCTCTCTCTCATCACCACGGTGGCTAGAAGATGTTGACTACCTCGCCAGGTACACAGGAGGTCGTGGGTTTGATCGCGACCATGACAACGCCTGCTGCTGCTGCTGCTGTATATTTGGAGTCTGCGTGTCTCTCTCTCATCACCACGGTGGCTAGGAGATGTTGACTACCTCGCCTGGTGTGCAGGAGGTCGTGGGTTCGATTCTGACACTGACGATGCCTGCTGCTGCTGTATATTTGGAGTCTGCGTGTCTCTCTCTCTCATCACCACGGTGGCTAGGAAGATGTTGACTACCTCGCCTGGTGTGCAGGAGGTCGTGGGTTCGATTCCGACCATGACGAATCCTACTGCTGCTGCTGCTGTAGATTTGGAGTCTGCGTCTCTCTCATCATCATCATCATCACGGTGGCTAGGAGATGTTGACTACCTCGCCAGGTACACAGGAGGTCGTGGGTTTGATCGCGACCATGACAACGCCTGCTGCTGCTGCTGTATATTTGGAGTCTGCGTGTCTCTCTCTCATCACCACGGTGGCTAGGAGATGTTGACTACCTCGCCTGGTGTGCAGGAGGTCGTGGGTTCGATTCTGACACTGACGATGCCTGCTGCTGCTGTATATTTGGAGTCTGCGTGTCTCTCTCTCTCATCACCACGGTGGCTAGGAAGATGTTGACTACCTCGCCTGGTGTGCAGGAGGTCGTGGGTTCGATTCCGACCATGACGAATCCTACTGCTGCTGCTGCTGTAGATTTGGAGTCTGCGTCTCTCTCATCATCATCATCATCACGGTGGCTAGGAGATGTTGACTACCTCGCCTGGTGTACAGGAGGTCGTGGGTTCGATTCCGACCATGACGAAGCCTACTGCTGCTGCTGTATATTTGGAGTCTGCGTCTCTCTCTCTCATCCCCACGGTGGCTAGGAGATGTTGACTACCTCGCCTGGTGTACAGGAGGTCGTGGGTTCGATTCTGACACTGACGATGCCTGCTGCTGCTGTATATTTGGAGTCTGCGTCTCTCTCTCTCTCATCACCACGGTGGCTAGGAAGATGTTGACTACCTCGCCTGGTGTGCAGGAGGTCGTGGGTTCGATTCCGACCATGACGAATCCTACTGCTGCTGCTGCTGTATATTTGGAGTCTGAGTCTCTCTTTCTTTCATCATCACCACGGTAGCTATGAGATGTTGACTACCTCGCCTGGTGTACAGGAGGTCGTGGGTTCGATTCCGACCATGACGAAGCCTACTGCTGCTGCTGCTGTATATTTGGAGTCTGCGTCTCTCTCATCATCATCATCACGGTGGCTAGGAGATGTTGACTACCTCGCCTGGTGTACAGGAGGTCGTGGGTTCGATTCCGACCATGACAAAGCCTACTGCTGCTGCTGCTGTATATTTGGAGTCTGCGTCTCTCTCTCTCTCATCACCACGGTGGCTAGGAAGATGTTGACTACCTCGCCTGGTGTGCAGGAGGTCGTGGGTTCGATTCCGACCATGACGAATCCTACTACTGCTGCTGTATATTTGGAGTCTGCGTCTCTCTCTCATCATCATCACGGTGGCTAGGAGATGTTGCCTACCTCGCCTAGTCTACAGGAGGTCGTGGGTTCGATCCCGACCATGACGAATCCTACTGCTGCTGCTGCTGTAGATTTGGAGTCTGCCTCTCTCTCTCCCTCTCTCTCACACCGCGGCGGTCGCGTGGATTTTACTCCGAGTCGTCCGGGATTTTTGTCCCCTCCCCCATTCATTCTTGCTGCCGCCCCGCTCGCCTCTCGCCCCCCCCCCCCCCCCGGCGCAGCCGTGCGGAAGCCGTCGGCCGTGGGACCGTCGGCGGAGGGCGACGCCGACGGTGACGGGTGGCGGCTGCAGCTGCGGCTGGAGCTGCGCCCGTCACGTGACCAGGCCGTGCTGGTGGCGTTGGTGCGCAACGGCACGGACGCGGAGCTCACGGTGGCGCTCACGCACGCGGCGAGGGGCGCCGTCGGGACGCCGGCGCGGCAGCAGCAGCTCGTGCCGGTACCACCGCCGCCGCCGGACGCCGGACGCCGAACGCCAAACCGCCGCCGCTCCCGCGGCCGCCGCTAGCCACCGCCAACATCGCGGCCACGGCCACCGCTAGCGCTGCGAACAGCGGCAACAAGCTTCCTGCGGCACAAACACCGCCGATTCACTATGGTGGAGTGTTGAGTCTATGGTGCAGTGTTGAGTCTATGGTGCAGTGTTGAGTCTATGGTGCAGTGTTGAGTCTATGGTGCAGTGTTGAGTCTATGGTGCAGTGTTGAGTCTATGGTGCAGTGTTGAGTCTATGGTGCAGTGTTGGGTCTATGGTGGAGTGTTGAGTCTATGGTGCAGTGTTGAGTCTATGGTGCAGTGTTGAGTCTATGGTGCAGTGTTGAGTCTATGGTGCAGTGTTGAGGCTATGGTGCAGTGTTGAGTCTGTAGTGCAGTGTTGAGTCTATGGTGCAGTGTTGAGTCTATGGTGCAGTGTTGAGTCTATGGTGCAGTGTTGAGTCTATGGTGCAGTGTTGAGTCTATGGTGCAGTGTTGAGTCTATGGTGTAGTGTTGAGTCTATGGTGCAGTGTTGAGTCTATGGTGCAGTGTTGAGTCTGTGGTGCAGTATTGAGTCTGTGGTGCAGTGCTGAGCCTATGGTGCAGTGTTGAGTCTATGGTGCAGTGTTGAGTCTGAGTCTATGGTGCAGTGTTGAGTCTATGGTGCAGTGTTGAGTCTATGGTGCAGTGTTGAGTCTATGGCGCAGTGTTGAGTCTATGGCGCAGTGTTGAGTCTATGGTGCAGTGTTGAGTCTATGGTGCAGTGTTGAGTCTATGGTGCAGTGTTGAGTCTATGGTGCAGTGTTGAGTCTATGGGGCAGTGTTGAGTCTATGGTGCAGTGTTGAGTCTGTGGTGCAGTATTGAATCTGTGGTGCAGTGCTGAGCCTATGGTGCAGTGTTGAGTCTATGGTGCAGTGTTGAGTCTATGGTGCAGTGTTGAGTCTATGGTGCAGTGTTGAGTCTATGGTGCAGTGTTGAGTCTATGGTGCAGTGCTGAGTCAGTGGTGCAGTGTGAGTCTATGATGCAGTGTTGAGTCTATGGTGCAGTGTTGAGTCTATGGTGCAGTGTTGAGTCTATGGGCAGTGCTGAGTCTATGGGCAGTGTTGAGTCTATGGTGTAGTGTTGAGACTGTGAAGCAGTGTTGAGTCTATGGTGCAGTGTTGAGTCTATGGTGCAGTGTTGAGTCTATGGTGCAGTGTTGAGTCTATGGTGCAGTGTTGAGTCTATGGTGCAGTGTTGGGTCTATGGTGGAGTGTTGAGTCTATGGTGCAGTGTTGAGTCTGTGGTGCAGTGTTGAGTCTATGGTGCAGTGTTGAGTCTATGGTGCAGTGTTGAGTCTATGGTGCAGTGTTGAGTCTATGGTGCAGTGTTGAGTCTATGGTGCAGTGTTGAGTCTGTGGTGCAGTGCTGAGTCTATGGTGCAGTGTTGAGTCTGTGGTGCAGTGTTGAGTCTATGGTGCAGTGTTGAGTCTGTAGTGCAGTGTTGAGTCTATGGTGCAGTGTTGAGTCTATGGTGCAGTGTTGAGTCTATTGCGCAGTGTTGAGTCTATGGCGCAGTGTTGAGTCTATGGTGCAGTGTTGAGTCTATGGTGCAGTGTTGAGTCTATGGTGTAGTGTTGAGTCTATGGTGCAGTGTTGAGTCTATGGTGCAGTGTTGAGTCTGTGGTGCAGTATTGAGTCTGTGGTGCAGTGCTGAGCCTATGGTGCAGTGTTGAGTCTATGGTGCAGTGTTGAGTCTATGGTGCAGTGTTGAGTCTATGGTGCAGTGTTGAGTCTATGGTGCAGTGTTGAGTCTATGGTGCAGTGTTGAGTCTATGGTGCAGTGTTGAGTCTATGGCGCAGTGTTGAGTCTATGGCGCAGTGTTGAGTCTATGGTGCAGTGTTGAGTCTATGGTGCAGTGTTGAGTCTATGGTGCAGTGTTGAGTCTATGGTGCAGTGTTGAGTCTATGGGGCAGTGTTGAGTCTATGGTGCAGTGTTGAGTCTGTGGTGCAGTATTGAATCTGTGGTGCAGTGCTGAGCCTATGGTGCAGTGTTGAGTCTATGGTGCAGTGTTGAGTCTATGGTGCAGTGTTGAGTCTATGGTGCAGTGTTGAGTCTATGGTGCAGTGCTGAGTCAGTGGTGCAGTGTGAGTCTATGATGCAGTGTTGAGTCTATGGTGCAGTGTTGAGTCTATGGTGCAGTGTTGAGTCTATGGGCAGTGTTGAGTCTATGGGCAGTGTTGAGTCTATGGTGTAGTGTTGAGACTGTGAAGCAGTGTTGAGTCTATGGTGCAGTGTTGAGTCTATGGTGCAGTGTTGAGTCTATGGTGCAGTGTTGAGTCTATGGTGCAGTGTTGAGTCTATGGTGCAGTGTTGGGTCTATGGTGGAGTGCTGAGTCTATGGTGCAGTGTTGAGTCTGTGGTGCAGTGTTGAGTCTATGGTGCAGTGTTGAGTCTATGGTGCAGTGTTGAGTCTATGGTGCAGTGTTGAGTCTATGGTGCAGTGTTGAGTCTATAGTGCAGTGTTGAGTCTGTGGTGCAGTGCTGAGTCTATGGTGCAGTGTTGAGTCTGTGGTGCAGTGTTGAGTCTATGGTGCAGTGTTGAGTCTGTAGTGCAGTGTTGAGTCTATGGTGCAGTGTTGAGTCTATGGTGCAGTGTTGAGTCTATGGGGCAGTGTTGAGTCTATGGTGCAGTGTTGAGTCTATGGTGCAGTGTTGAGTCTATGGTGTAGTGTTGAGTCTATGGTGCAGTGTTGAGTCTATGGTGCAGTGTTGAGTCTGTGGTGCAGTATTGAGTCTGTGGTGCAGTGCTGAGCCTATGGTGCAGTGTTGAGTCTATGGTGCAGTGTTGAGTCTATGGTGCAGTGTTGAGTCTATGGTGCAGTGTTGAGTCTATGGTGCAGTGTTGAGTCTATGGTGCAGTGTTGAGTCTATGGCGCAGTGTTGAGTCTATGGCGCAGTGTTGAGTCTATGGTGCAGTGTTGAGTCTATGGTGCAGTGTTGAGTCTATGGTGCAGTGTTGAGTCTATGGTGCAGTGTTGAGTCTATGGGGCAGTGTTGAGTCTATGGTGCAGTGTTGAGTCTGTGGTGCAGTATTGAATCTGTGGTGCAGTGCTGAGCCTATGGTGCAGTGTTGAGTCTATGGTGCAGTGTTGAGTCTATGGTGCAGTGTTGAGTCTATGGTGCAGTGTTGAGTCTATGGTGCAGTGTTGAGTCTATGGTGCAGTGCTGAGTCTATGGTGCAGTGTTGAGTCTATGGTGCAGTGTTGAGTCTATGGGCAGTGTTGAGGCTATGGGCAGTGCTGAGTCTATGATGCAGTGTTGAGTCTATGGACAGTGTTGAGTCTATGGTGCAGTGTTGAGTATATGGGCAGTGTTGTGTCTATGGTGCAGTGTTGAGTCATGAACAGTGTTGAGTCTATGGTGCAGTGTTGAGTATATGGGCAGTGGTGAGTCTATGGTGCAGTGCTGAGTCTATTGTGCAGTGTTGAGTCTATGGTGCAGTGTTGAGTCTATGGTGCAGTGTTGAGTCTATGGTGCAGTGTTGAGTCTATGGGCAGTGTTGAGTCTATGGTGCAGTGTTGAGTCTATGGGCAGTGTTGAGGCTATGGGCAGTGCTGAGTCTATGATGCAGTGTTGAGTCTATGGACAGTGTTGAGTCTATGGTGCAGTGTTGAGTATATGGGCAGTGTTGTGTCTATGGTGCAGTGTTGAGTCATGAACAGTGTTGAGTCTATGGTGCAGTGTTGAGTATATGGGCAGTGTTGAGTCTATGGTGCAGTGCTGAGTCTATGGTGCAGTGTTGAATCTATGGTGCAGTGTTGAGTCTATGGTGCAGTGTTGAGTCTATGGTGCAGTGTTGAGTCTATGGTGCTGTGTTGAGTCTATGGTGCAGTGTTGAGTCTGTGGTGCAGTGCTGAGTCTATGGTGTAGTGTTGAGTCTATGGTGCAGTGTTGAGTCTATGGGCAGTGTTGAGTGAGTCTATGGTGCAGTGTTGAGTGAGTCTATGGGCAGTGTTGAGTCTATGGTGCAGTGCTGAGTCTATGGCACAGTGCTGAGTCTATGGTGCAGTGTTGAATCTATGGGCAGTGTTGAGTCTATGGTGCAGTGTTGAGTCTATGGCGCAGTGCTGAGTCTATGGTGCAGTGTTGAGTCTATGGTGCAGTGTTGAGTCTATGGTGCAGTGTTGAGTCTATGGTGCAGTGTTGAGTCTATGGCGCAGTGCTGAGTCTATGGTGCAGTGTTGAGTCTATGGTGCAGTGTTGAGTCTGTGGTGCAGTGCCGAGTCTATGGTGCAGTGTTGAGTGAGTCTATGGTGCAGTGCTGAGTCTATGGTCCAGTGGCCCGCGGTGCCCTTGCAATAAACACCTCTGCCACGGAGAGATTTTTTGGTCATCACGAGCAAGGGATCACCCCCCCCCCCCACTCCCTCCACTCCCTCCACCCCTCACCGAGCCCTCTCATCCCCCCTCCCCCCACCCCCCCACACCCCCCTCCACCAGGGCGTGGGAGTCTTCGTGCGTAAGGAGTTGGTGCTCTTCCAGGAGGCTCCCTCCGACGGGGCCCGGGGCCCCCGTGCCGGCGGCCTGTGCGACGGCGCGTGGCACTCCCTGGGCCTGAGCGCCACCGCCACGTCGATGCGCCTCGAGCTGGACGGCGTGGGCCACAGCAAGGACGGCTGGGCCTCGGTGGGGGCCCTGGCCGAGGGGGGCCGGCGCCCCGTGGCCGCACTCCTGACGGGGGCCGTGCGGACGTGCCTGGGAGGCCTTCCTGGTGGGTGGAGTTGGTGGGTGGGTGGGGGTTGGTGGGTGGGTGGGTGTGTGGTTGGAGTTGTTGGTGTGTTTGCGCACGTGCCTGGGAGGCCTTCCTGGTGGGTGGAGTTGGTGGCTGGGTGGGTGGGTGAGTGGAGTTGGTGGGTGGGTGGGTGTGTGTGGAGTTGGTGGGTGGGTGGGTGGGTGGAGTTGGTGGGTGGGTGGAGTTGGTGCGTGGGTGAGTGGAGTTGGTGGGTGGGTGGAGTTGGTGGGTGGGTGGAGTTGGTGGGTGGTTGGGGGTGGAGTTGGTGGGTGGTTGAAGTTGTTGGTGGGTTTGCGCACGTGCCTGGGAGGCCTTTCTGGTAGGTGGAGTTGGTGGGTGGGTGGGTGGAGTTGGTGGGTGGGTGGGTGGGTGGAGTTGGTGGGTGGGTGGGTGGAGTTGGTGGGTGGGTTGGGTTGGTTGGTGGGTTGGTGGGTGGGTGGGTTGGTGGGTGAGTTGGTGGGTGGGTGTGTGGAGTTGGTGGGTGGGTCCATGAGTTTGGTGGGTGGCTGAGTTAGTAACTTGGTGGGGGGGGGGGGGCGGATGGAGTTGGTGGGTGGGTGGGTTGGTGGGTGGGTGGGTAGGTGGGTGGAGTAGGGAGCGGTGGGTGTAGTGGTTAGCGCTACGCTGCGCTACGAACCCGGCAACCCGAGTTCGATTCCTGCTCACGGCCACCAACACCACCGGTGACGATTATCTGTACCGGTCCTGAGCCTCCCCTAGGTCGACTCAGCCTCAAATGAGTACCCGGTGCAGTGTGGAAACATCGCCACTGGGGGGAGACAAAGGCGGTCGGGCGCGGTTGCTGGTAGCCACCCACCCCCTCGTGTGCCACAGTGCCGGTAGCCTTCACAGGTGCTGCTCGCTAACAGCACTTGCCCCTACTGCCTGTTAGAGGCTACGCGGGGCATCTTTGTCTTTGGAGTTGGTGGGCGGTTGTGTCGCTGGGTGGGCGGTCGGGCGAGTTGGTTGGTGGGTGGCTGGATCGCTGAGGGGTCACGTGATCTTCACTCTTCACTGCCGTCGTTTCACCGTTTTCACGACGCTTCCGCTCAACTAACAAGGCGAGTGTCTGTAGGGTCCTTGGGGGTGGGGGGGTTTGTAGGGGGGGGGGCTTAGCTCCCCCCCCTCCACCCACCCCTCTCAAATACCCAGACCGCCCAAGATGCCGAGCGGCCAGCGACGGACAGCACTCTAACTTTGTTTCTTGAATTGAGTAAAGAGCCAATCTCACCATCTCCCCATCATCTCCCCATCATCTCCCATCCCCCCATCCCCCTCTTCTCCCCCCCTCCCCCCACTCTCCCCCCCACCCGCCCACCCCTCCTCCCCCCCCCACCTCTCCCCCCTCTCACTCGACCCCCCCCCCAGACACGGTGGCCTTCACAGCGGCCCCCATCTCGGCGTACTACGCAGGCTGCTTGCGGGGAATCCGCGTGGGGGGCCGGGCGCTGGACCTCCACGAGGCCGACCATTTACACCCCGGCATCCGCTCACACAGCTGCCTGCCGCCACTCCCATAGCCAGACACTCACTCAATCACTCCCATAGCCAGACACTCACTCCCATAGCCAAACACTCACTCACTCCCATAGCCAGACACTCACTCAATCACTCCCATAGCCAGACACTCACTCGGTCGCATAGCCAAACACTTACTCACTCCCATAGCCAAACACTCACTCACTCACTCCCATAGCCAGACACTCACTCACTCCCATAGCCAGACACTCACTCACTCCCATAGCCAGACACTCACTCCCATAGCCAAACACTCACTCACTCACTCCCATAGCCAGACACTCACTCACTCCCATAGCCAGACACTCACTCACTCCCATAGCCAGACACTCGCTCACTCACTCCCATAGCCAGACACTCACTCGGTCGCATAGCCAAACACTTACTCACTCCCATAGCCAGACACTCACTCACTCCCATAGCCAGACACTCACTCACTCCCATAGCCAGACACTCACTCCCATAGCCAAACACTCACTCACTCACTCCCATAGCCAGACACTCACTCACTCCCATAGCCAGACACTCACTCACTCCCATAGCCAGACACTCGCTCACTCACTCCCATAGCCAGACACTCGCTCACTCACTCCCATAGCCAGACACTCACTCACTCCCATAGCCAGACACTCACTCGGTCCCATAGCCAGACACTCACTCACTCCCATAGCCAAACACTCGCTCACTCACTCCCATAGCCAGACACTCACTCACTCCCATAGCCAGACACTCACTCACTCCCATAGCCAGACACTCACTCACTCACTCCCATAGCCATTCACTCACTCACTCCCATAGCCAGACACTCACTCACTCCCATAGCCAGACACTCACTCCCATAGCCAGACACTCACTCACTCCCATAGCCAGACACTCACTCACTCACTCCCATAGCCAGACACTCACTCACTCCCATAGCCAGACACTCACTCACTCACTCCCATAGACAGACACTCGCTCACTCCCATAGCCAAACACTCACTCACTCACTCCCATAGCCAGACACTCACTCACTCCCATAGCCAGACACTCACTCACTCCCATAGCCAGACACTCGCTCACTCACTCCCATAGCCAGACACTCGCTCACTCACTCCCATAGCCAGACACTCACTCACTCCCATAGCCAGACACTCACTCGGTCCCATAGCCAGACACTCACTCCCATAGCCAAACACTCGCTCACTCACTCCCATAGCCAGACACTCACTCACTCCCATAGCCATTCACTCGCTCACTCACTCCCATAGCCAAACACTCGCTCCCATAGCCAGACACTCACTCCCATAGCCATTCACTCACTCACTCACTCCCATAGCCAGACACTCACTCCCATAGCCAAACACTCACTCACTCCCATAGCCAAACACTCACTCCCATAGCCAGACACTCACTCCCATAGCCAGACACTCACTCACTCCCATAGCCAGACACTCACTCACTCCCATAGCCAGACACTCACTCACTCCCATAGCCAGACACTCACTCACTCCCATAGCCAAACACTCACTCACTCCCATAGCCAGACACTCACTCACTCCCATAGCCAGACACTCACTCACTCACTCCCATAGCCAGACACTCACTCACTCCCATAGCCAGACACTCACTCCCATAGCCAGACGCTCACTCACTCACTATAATAGCCAGACACTCACTCACTCCTATAGCCAGACACTCACTCACTCACTCCCATAGCCAGACACTCGCTCACTCCCATAGCCAGACACTTACTCACTCACTCCCATAGACAGGCACTCACTCACTCCCATAGCCAGACACTCACTCACTCACTCCCATAGCCAGACACTCACTCACTCCCATAGCCAGACACTCACTCCCATAGCCAGACACTCACTCACTCACTCCCATAGCCAGACACTCACTCACTCCCATAGCCAGACACTCACTCCCATAGCCAGACACTCGCTCACTCACTCCATTAGCCAGACACTCGCTCACTCACTCCCATAGCCAGACACTCACTCACTCCCATAGCCAGACACTCGCTCACTCACTCCCATAGCCAGACACTCACTCTTCCCATAGCCAGACACTCGCTCACTCACTCCATAGCCAGACCATCACTCACTCCCATAGCCGACACTCACTCGTCCCATAGCCAGACAACTCAATCACTCCCATAGCCAGACACTCACTCACTCCCCATAGCCATTCACTCGCTCACTCACTCCCATAGCCGGACACTCACTCCATAGCCAACACTCACTCACTCCATAGCAAACACTCACTCACTCCCATAGCCAGACACTCACTCACTTCCCATAGCAGACACTCACTCACTCCCATAGCAGACACTCACTACACTCACGTCCCATAGCCAGACACTCACTCACTCCCATAGCCAGACACTCACTCACTCCCATAGCCAGACACTCAACTCACTCCCATAGCCAGACACTCACTCCCAAGCCAGACGCTCACTCACTCCCATAGCCAGACGCTCAACTCACTCACTCCCATAGCCAGACACTCACTCACTCCCATAGCCAGACACTCACTCACTCCCATAGCCAGACACTCACTCACTCCCATAGCCAGACACTCACTCACTCACTCCCATAGCCAGACACTCACTCACTTACTCCCATAGCCAGACACTCACTCCCATAGCCAGACACTCACTCACTCACTCCCATAGCCGGACACTCACTCCATAGCCAGACGCTCACTTCACTCCCATAGCCAGACACTCACTCCCCTAGCCAGACACTCACTCACTCCCATAGCCGGACACTCACTCTACTCACTCCCATAGCCAGACACTCACCTCCCATAGCCAGACACTCACTCACTCCCATAGCCAGACTCTCACTCCCATAGCCAGACACTCACTCACTCCCATAGCCAGACACTCACTCACTCCCATAGCCAGACACTCACTCCCATAGCCAGACACTCGCTCACTCACTCCCATAGCCAGACACTCACTCATTCCCATAGCCAGACACTCGCTCACTCACTCCCATAGCCAGACACTCACTCACTCCCATAGCCAGACACTCACTCGGTCCCATAGCCAGACACTCACTCACTCCCATAGCCAGACACTCACTCACTCCCATAGCCATTCACTCGCTCACTCACTCCCATAGCCAGACACTCACTCCCATAGCCAAACACTCACTCACTCCCATAGCCAAACACTCACTCACTCCCATAGCCAGACACTCACTCACTCCCATAGCCAGACACTCACTCACTCCCATAGCCAGACACTCACTCACTCACTCCCATAGCCAGACACTCACTCACTCCCATAGCCAGACACTCACTCACTCCCATAGCCAGACACTCACTCACTCCCATAGCCAGACACTCACTCCCATAGCCAGACGCTCACTCACTCCCATAGCCAGACGCTCACTCACTCACTCCCATAGCCAGACACTCACTCACTCCCATAGCCAGACACTCACTCACTCCCATAGCCAGACACTCACTCACTCCCATAGCCAGACACTCACTCACTCACTCCCATAGCCAGACACTCACCTCACTTACTCCCATAGCCAGACCACTCACTCCCATAGCCAGACACTCACTCACTCACTCCCATAGCCGGACACTCACTCCCATAGCCAGACGCTCACTCACTCCCATAGCCAAGACACTCACTCCCCTAGCCAGACACTCACTCACTCCATAGCCGGACACTCACTCACTCACTCACTCCCATAGCCAGACACTCACTCCCATAGCCAGACACTCACTCCCATAGCCAGACTCTCACTCCCATAGCCAGACACTCACTCACTCCCATAGCCAGACACTCACTCACTCCCATAGCCAGACACTCGCTCCCATAGCCAGACACTCACTCACTCACTCCCATAGCCAGACACTCACTCACTCCCATAGCCAGACACTCACTCACTATCATAGCCAGACACTCACTCCCATAGCCAGACACTCACTCACTCACTCCCATAGCCAGACACTCACTCACTCCCATAGCCAGACACTCACTCCCATAGCCAGACACTCACTCCCATAGCCAGACACTCACTCCCATAGCCAGACACTCACTCCCATAGCAAGACTCTCACTCCCATAGCCAGACACTCACTCCCATAGCCAGACGCTCACTCCCATAGCCAGACACTCACTATCATAGCCAGACACTCACTCACTCCCATAGCCAGACTCTCACTCCCATAGCCAGACACTCACTCACTCACTATCATAGCCAGACGCTCACTCACTATCATAGCCAGACACTCACTCACTCACTATCATAGCCAGACACTCACTCCCATAGCCAGACGCTCACTCACTCCCATAGCCAGACACTCACTCCCCTAGCCAGACACTCACTCACTCCCATAGCCGGACACTCACTCACTCACTCACTCCCATAGCCAGACACTCACTCCCATAGCCAGACACTCACTCACTCCCATAGCCAGACTCTCACTCCCATAGCCAGACACTCACTCACTCCCATAGCCAGACACTCACTCACTCCCATAGCCAGACACTCGCTCCCATAGCCAGACACTCACTCACTCACTCCCATAGCCAGACACTCACTCACTTCCATAGCCAGACACTCACTCACTATCATAGCCAGACACTCACTCCCATAGCCAGACACTCACTCACTCACTCCCATAGCCAGACACTCACTCACTCCCATAGCCAGACACTCACTCCCATAGCCAGACACTCACTCCCATAGCCAGACACTCACTCCCATAGCCAGACACTCACTCCCATAGCAAGACTCTCACTCCCATAGCCAGACACTCACTCCCATAGCCAGACGCTCACTCCCATAGCCAGACACTCACTCTCATAGCCAGACACTCACTCACTCCCATAGCCAGACTCTCACTCCCATAGCCAGACACTCACTCACTCACTATCATAGCCAGACGCTCACTCACTATCATAGCCAGACACTCACTCACTCACTATCATAGCCAGACACTCACTCCCATAGCCAGACACTCACTCACTATCATAGCCAGACACTCACTCCCATAGCCAGACACTCACTATCATAGCCAGACGCTCACTCCCATAGCCAGACACTCACTCCCATAGCCAGACACTCACTCCCATAGCCAGACACTCACTCACTATCATAGCCAGACACTCACTCCCATAGCCAGACGCTCACTCCCATAGCCAGACACTCACTCACTCACTCCCATAGCCAGACACTCACTCACTCACTATCATAGCCAGACACTCACTCCCATTGCCAGACT